GATTGTCGATCCTCTACTAGAGGAACTGGGGAATCGCATAGCGGCCCATTGGCCCTCTAGAAGATTTTCTGGCCCTCGACCCTAAATCCTGGCCCTCAAGTGCCCTACCTTCTCATGATCTTATCAGCGCTGCAAACCAGTTCTCTCCTTCTTCCCACTCCCGCACCCTCCAACAAATGACTTTGTATCATCCGCCGGACCAACGCTCCTCCTCATCTCCTCGCTATCCTCCGGTCATGGCCCACCCCGTCAAGCTGTGCCACTCAAAGTGGGGGCCACAGCCGCAGCATGACCAGGGAGCAGCGGGACTTCTTATAACGGAGTAGCAGGTCAGGTTCGCGAACGATGGAGGGGTGCGCCGAGACTCTGTAGCGAGGATGACGCAGAGTGAGTTGAGAAAAGAGCCGGCGTCAACGGACGCAGGGGAAGGAGAGGAACCAGTGCGCGGGGAGCAGGGAGGGGCAGAGGCGGAGGGGGAGGCAGAGGGGGAGGCGTAGTGCAAAATGGAGGAGGAGCGGCAGGCGAGGGAAGGGTGGGACGTCACGGGGTCAGCGAAGTTCGGGCGGGTGAATGTGGAGGGGGCGGGTGCGGAGAGGGCTCTCGTTAACCAGCGCACGTGCTTCTCCGTGACTAGTGGGACTGGGAGCCGGGGGGGGGGGGGGGGGGGGAGGAGGGGAGGGGATGCAAGACGCAGTGCCTTTGCTGTGACATGGGATTGGTGGGAGTGTGTAATGCATGCAGTCTGTGCATTCATTGGATATGCATTCAATGGGCATGAATTCCATGCACATAAATTCAATGGGCATGCATTCAATGGGCATGCATTCAATGAACATGCATCCAATGGGCATGCATTCAATGAGCATGCATTCAATGGGCATGCATTCAATCGGCATATATTGAATGGGCATGCATTCAATGGGCATGCATTCAATGGGCAGGCACTCAATCGGCATGCATTCAATGGGCATGCCTCCAATGGGCATGCATTGAATGGGCATGCATTGAATGGGCATGCATTGAATGGGCATGCATTCAATGGGCATGCATTCAATGGGCATGCATTCAATGGGCATGCATTCAATGGGCATGCATTCAATGGGCATGCATTCAATGGGCATGCATTCAATGGGCATGCATTCAATGGGCATGCATTCAATGGGCATGCATTCAATGCGCATGCATTCAACGGGCATGCATTGCTGGCTTGCGAGCCTCTTTTTTTGCTAAACGGCATTCCAAATGAGTCGCTGTGCCTCTGAATATCTCGTGCTGTGGGCCAATGGTCTATTGACTGGATAGGAAGTGCTTCTCCGTGACGGGTGTGATGACAGGCAGGCTGCAAAAAGGCGAGGTCCAAGTTGCGGGAAGGAAGGAAATTTCACCCATTCGTGGTTTGTCCCCATTCATTGTATGCCCCCATTCGTTGTCTGTCCCCATTCGTTGTCTGTCCCCAGTCATGAGGGGTCCTTCCACCCACGACCAGGCACCTTAGTGTTTGGATTAGGACATGACATCTCATGTCAACCATGCTTGCTGCCCCCATTTACCATGCTGTTGCATGTTGCAGCATTCGATAAAGCTGGAGACGCCTTCGACATTGGTTGTAGGTGCGTCAGTAACGGGCAGGTGGGCTGCGGAGGCCTTAGAGAGCCATATTAGACAGACAGCTTACAGAGCTGGGGACGCGGTCGACGTTGGTTGCAGGTGCTGTGTCCATCACACCTCCCCCTCTTTCCCTCTCTTCTCTCTCCCTCTCCTCTCCCTCCCTCTCCTCCTCCCTCTTTCTTTCAACCTCATACCATGCCATCCCTACACAACTGCTACACCCATCTTCCCCTCCCGTGTGCACTCCCTCTCCTTCCGCCTTTTGAGGCGCCTCAAAAGTCATCCTCCCTGCTGTGTGCGTACACTCTATCTCCCGCCGCCCCGTCTCTTTGCCTGTCTCCTCGGCCTCGTGCAATCAAGCGCCCCTCTCCACTCCATCGCCCCTCTGCTTTTTGCAGCAGGCAGCGTGCGTTCTTTGTGGCACTACTCGCCTTTGACACCCTTGCCAACCGCTCCTCATAACCTCACAGTGCCGCCTCCTCTCTTCCGATGGAGTCACCCTCTTCCGCCACTGCCACCGCCACCACTACCACGATCGATACCAACATTATCAGTGGTAGCAGCAGCAGCAGCGATAGCAGTGCCAGCAGCAGCGGTGGTGGCAAAAGCAGCACCAGTGATCACGTGGCGAGGAGGTGGAGAGGTTTTTGGAAAACGGCGAGAGTGACAGAGGCGCCGGCATGGGATGGTGCTGTGAACGGGTGGACTGACCTGCGACTGGCAGCTCAAGTCAAGTACCGCCCCGCCTCCTCCTCCCACCAGGTGCTCTCCTCTCTCCCTCTCTCTTTCTCACACGGTGCTTCCGTGTTTATACATGGCTCATACAGCATAGAGGTGACGCCCTTTTAAAAGCGAGAGGAGGTCTCTACTAGACTCTTTCGGAATTGGGCCGTGGGGTGGGTTGAACCGTCCAGTTGTCAACCCAGGGGGTTACGTACGAGGGGCCTCGACTATGCTCTTTGGTCGGCTGGCTGTCGTGTGATGTGAAGTGCAATGGCTTGATTTCCCTGCACTGCACGGCCACTGCTTTTTGAGGTGCCTATACATGAGTACATTGGCTTGCATTCCCTGCCAGGAAAATAGGTAATGCCCACTACGCCGCTGCCAGGAACAGCGTCCCATGCACCCTCCCATCCTGTCACCGCTCATCCCTCCTTCCTTCACATCTCCCTCACTCCGTCCTCGCTTTTGTTTCGTCCACCCACCTATCTCTTTCCCGTCCGCCTGTGGCCCACTTGATCTCCCCTTGGCCTCTCTCTCTCCCCGTCCCCCTTCCACTTGTCCATTCTGTGTGCGCCCTCTCACCTGCTGCTCCTTGTCTTCCCATGCGGTTTCGTCCTATGCAACCCATGCATGCCCAAGTGTGCTTCACAGCGCCCTTCCCCGAGCCCTACCTGCTCTCGCTGCATCTGCTCTTCTCCAACGCATGCCAGACCCGCACGGCTCTCAGCAAACAATACAACCAGGGCTTCCAAAAGTAGGTGCTTCCTGCCTGCTACTCTTCCAATACAACCATCCATTGGACTTCACATTCATGTATCCTTCCCCGGCACCTACCTGCTCTCGCTGCACCTGCTCTCGCTGCACCTGCTCTTGTCCAATGCCTGTCAGACCCGGACAGCTCTCAGCGGTGCTTTCAACCCCGGCTTCCAAAAGTATGTCCTTCCAGCTTTTGTTTTTAAGGCCCCTCTAAACTCATCAATATCCCGCTAGTAGTGCCCGTGCATGACCCGCTAGTAGTGCCCGTGCATGACCCGCTACTAGTGCCCGTGCATGACCCGCTGTCACATCACTGCTTGCCCATGTATGATCCGTCCTTATAGCATTGCTCCCCTACATGCAGCTATCGTCTGGTGGCCTTTCGCAAGCTGCAGGTCTCCAGCCCCCCGCAGTACTCTCCAGAGGCCCTTAGGTAAGCGTGATGGCTCATCACAGAGGTCCTGATTCGGCGGCAAGAAGCAGGAGTATGGGTTGAGTTCTTAGGAGTACACTGGGAGGAGAATGAAGAGCGAGGGCGGGGCTGCAGGCAGGCAGTTCGGCCTCAGGAGCCGTCCTTGCCTCCCTCAGCTTGGGGGCCGGGCTAAAGGCTGGTTGTGACAGCTGCACGGCGCAGGCTGCCAGTCCAGAGTCAGGAGGCCTCCCTACCTCTGCACAAGTCCATCTCCCTCAGCAGAAATTAGACCAACACCGAATTATACATCTAAGTTCTGTCAGTCAAGGCCAGCCCTCGCTCACTCCCTCCCTTGTACCCTCTCCCTGCTTCTCAAAGAGAGCCTCCCCTGGTGCCCGGCTGACCTGCTGCTCTCATCTGGCAGTGAGGGCCACTGGGGATGCTATTGAGACTTCTCGAAGGCTTGTTCATTCCACCCTCTCCCTGATGCCTAGAAACAACCTCCCCTGGCGCACGGGTGCCCTGCTGCTCTCCTCTGGCAACGTGGGCTACTGGAAGGACCAGCAGTGGCACCCCCACGCGTGCCGCCTCAAGGTCGTTCAGCCCGACGATACCCTCCAGTGCTTCCACCGCAAGCAGCGCGTGCTGCTCATGGGTGGGTAGGAGGGAGGGGGGTGCTCATGGGTAAGGAGGGGGGGGGGTGCTCATGGGTAAGAAGGAGGGGGGTGCTCGTGCGTATGGGTAAGAGGGGGGGGGAGAGGGGGTGGGGTTGGGCTTAGTGGGAACATACGCTTTTTGCGTATATAAGCTTATCGTTTATACGCGCTCGTATATACGCTATACGCTGTAGGGACAGGTTTAGGAATCCGCTTTTTTGGGCAAAAAAAACAACTTCTTGGGCAGGGTAATAAAAAAAACTGGGGAGGGGGGGAGGGGGGGGGTGGGGGGGGAGGATTTGGGGCCTGAAGTACATTTTTTTCCACATTACACATATACTACAGCCTACACATAACTTTTCCCTACTCTTTAAGACTCTTACCACTACCATCACTACTATAGTTCACTACTCCATCACGACCATCACATCTCTCTAAGACTCTCTAAGTACTACTCCTTAGGCCTAGCCGCCCACAGCAAGCCACATATGCCTCCTCTAGTTAGCGTATTCGTTTTCGAGGATGTCGTCGTTGCCTTCCTCCTCATCCTCTCCCGTCGTCTCGTCTTCCAGCCCATTGTATCCCGCCGGAATTGGAGGCTCCGCTCCAATCCCGAGCACCACATGTGGTAGGACATCGGCGCGCGTGAGCCAGTTACGCACAACATTCCAGTTGTGCGCAACATAGACCAAGTCCCTGCACTTGGCGGATCCGAGCCTGTTTTGACGTGTGGTGTGGACGGCATCCCACGATGACCATCCACGCTCACAGGGTGAGGCTAATACGGGCTGAGACAACACCTGTACCGCGAGCCCCGCCACTCGTGAGGCATCAGTCCCATTCCACTACCACCACTTCACCATGCTATGCTTCCCCTCTTTCATCAGCTTCCTCTGTGCCACGGCTTCCGGCATCCCAAAAGAACCCTTCATGTAAAGGAACGCCCTCAGCCAGTCCCCCAGCTCAATCAAGATGTCGCACGCGTCATTCCCCCCATCCCTGCGGCTCGCAAGGAACTCGGCATACTGGCTGATGAACGCCTTGAAGACTTTCGTGCACTCGGGATCAGTGCCGAAAATATCTTCCTCCTGATTGGCGGGGTTGAGGGTGCGACCAGTGACATGCATGGCGCATGCGAGGCTGCCGTCCCAACGATCTCTGAGGATGCGGCTGATCTGGTCCTTCTCCCCGTTGATCAACTGCTCCTCGTTCTCATCGAGTAAGTCCCCCACGTCCTCAGTCAACTGGAGCATCACATCGTACATCCTCCCCATCATCCCCACGGCATGCCCGTCCGTCTGCCTCATCGCCTTGTAGGGCAGCTTCAGCAGGGCGATGAAGAATTCGGCCGTTTTCCACCAGGCGGCATCATGGATCAGCGCTCTAAAACCGTCGCATGATTTCTTCCGGTCCCCTACCGCCCACTCCTTCCAGTGGTCGCTCGTCACCATGTTGACGAGGCTGCTGCGCATTGCAGACAGCCAGGATATGGCTATGTAGTTGGTCCCGAATCGGGTTCCAGCCGGCTTCAGCGCTTCCAGAACCTTCCCCTCCACCAATTCCGGCGTCCGCATGTACCTTCGGGTCCAATGGTGGTTGCGGACGAAGCTGGTTATCTCCCCTCCCTTGTCGACCACCGGATTAGCCCATGGCATCTTTCCCACGTCTTCCACAAGAAGATCCAATACGTGAGTGGCACACGGCACATCCTGAATGTGCGGCCACTCCCGTATAAGGTGCTTCACCGCCACCGCATAGTTCGACCCCCCGTTCATGCAGAACTCAACAACGTTCTCTGGACCCACTTCCTCCACCACGGGCCTGAGAATCCCCGCCACGTAGCCACCCATTTTCCTCTCCATGTTGCAGTCAATACAGTCGAAGAAGACGGCGCCAGAATCATTCACGAGAATCACGTTGGCCTGTGGCCTGCCCCTGCGGTCCGTCATCATGTCGGACGAAATTGTCACGCCTGTCCACTTCCAGCTCGTCTTGACGCCAACCAAACCCTGCTCGATTCCGTTGCGACAGGCGACAAGGCCAGCACCGCCGACGTATTTCCTCTTGGGAGGGACGTAGTCGCTGCCGGCGCATGAGACGTTGTTCAATGCATTGACCATCAGAGGATGGTCAATGTGGCGCTCGGGGATGTGGAGGGCGGCCCAAGCTAGCGCAAGTTGTTGATTGTGTAGGTGGTTGTGGTATTTTGCTCTAGCTGGTTGTGGGCTAAGGGTTTGGGCAAAATGTGGTGGTTGAACTTGTTGCGGGCTGGATTTGAACTCGCACCTAACAAGCACCAACAAACCTTTGTTACCAACTACAACACCTTTGGTGTTGCTAGTTTGGCACTTTAAGGTGTTGGGGATTGTTGTAGGGCGAGGGTTGGGTTGGTAGGGTTTCACCAACTCGTCACTTTTCAGATCTGAACTCTTGCTAAAGCTACTTTCTAGATCTAATCCATGGCTGCCAAGTAATTCCGTCAGGATACCCCGTCGCACATAAATCGCGATAGCGATCGGCCTAGATCTTGGTTGAAGGCGTGCTTTACCATTCTGGAAAGTAGAGATTAAGACCTTTCTAACGCGTACCTGCTCATCGTTCTAGGTTACGTGAGCTGCACGCAATGTTTCGCCGAAGTCGGCGGACATAATCTCTTGTTACGCTCTCCAGATTGGCACGCTTTCCATCAGTGGTATCAGAGCTGGTTAGGCCAGCGACATTCCCTCGTATTATCGTATTTCGAATTGGCTTAAGAATCTCCAGATCTAGGGTTGGTCATGGCCCAGAAATTAGATGGCCCTCCTAGGTTCACCGGCTCGGATTTTTCGCTATGGCGGTTCCAGTTTACGCTTTGGCTAGGTATTAAGGACCTAGAGGGCGTTTTGGAGGGATCGGAGCGAAGACCTGAAGCTGATGAAGGGAAGGCATCTACTGGAGTCTCTAGCCAAGTGGGAGAAGGGGCTGGGGGAGCCTCTAGCTCATCCTCAACTGAGGGAAGTGGAGGTGGATCAGCAGCACCGTGGACCGGAAGGCAACGGCTTAGTGCGGAGGAGCTTATCAAGGCACAGGAAGCATGGGACCGCAAGGACAAGCAAGCGTTCCAGTACCTGTGTTGGGCCTTGGAAGGCCAACTAGAGCTCCTAAAGATGCTGATTGACCTGAAGGGGAAGCAAGGTGCAGCTGCCCAAGCATGGAAGAGAGTTCAAGATCGGCACTTGCAAAAAGGGCTGCTAAGCATACTCACCTGGAGGAAGCGGTTTTACACCATGGAACGCAACTATGGTGATGGGGAGACCATGGTGCAGTATCTCCAGAGGGTGGATGAGTATGTGAGAGCCTTGGAGGAGTTAAACTACACTGTAGATGAGAAGGAGATCATCTACACCGCACTCCAGGGGCTGGACCAAGAGGCGAACGAGGCCCTACTGCAGTACCTTCACCTTGAGCAACAGAAATGGACCAAGGCCTGGATATGGGAGGTGTTGGTCTCTGATGAGGCTCGCAAAAGGGATGCTGGTAGAGGAGTTGAAGGGGGAATGGGGGCAGGTGATAGGGCTGCCTCCAAGAAATACCAGCAGCGGCAAGGAGGTGGGGGGAAGAAGAAGGAACTCGACAAGTGCCTTGTCCCTGGATGCAACCGGAAGCACTCTTGGAAGGAGTGTTGGAGCCGACCAGATGGGTGGAAGCCTCAAGGGTACCCAGGAGAGGCTCCACCTGTCACTAGGCCTGAATGGGTGGAGAGGAGGATGAAGAATGGAGCATGGAACAAGAAGGGCAGCAAAGAGAAAGCGGCAGCAGCGGCGACAAACGAGGATAAGAAGGGAAAGGAGGACTCATCGGATGATGGCTTCGCCTTCTTATCCTTGGAGATAGAGACGGCGCTTGCTGGTCGTACGTTGGCTGACCCCAATCAGCTCATTCTAGACTCCGGAGCAACCTGTGGAATGGTGCCTCGGCGCGACCTCTTCACCATCTATCACTCCCTCCCACCTAACTCCAGAAATGTGATTGTGGGGAGCGGAGATAAGCTACAAGCAATCGGCATCGGCACCATCACCGTCAAAGGGAAGGAGGGGGAGGTGCTGAATGTGAAGGGTGTGCTTCATGTTCCTGAATTGGCAGCCAACCTTCTCTCATGCTCTCAGCTTGCGAAGCAAGAATACATATGCACCTTCACCATGGAAGGTGGCACGGTTTGCAAGGGTGGAGCTGTGGTGATGGAGGCCAAGTTAGAGAAGGGTCTATACCTTGTTCCAGTTTGTGTGCCTCAGGTGGAAAGGGCACATGGGGTTGAAGCCGAGGATGCCGCTTGCAGCACCCGTTGGAAGGATGTGGAGCAAGTGACGGCAGATTTGCTGCACCTACGCATGGGGCATGCAGGAAGGCAGCAACTTGTGGAGTGTGTGAAGAAGGGGGAGCTGAAGGGTGTGGAGATCAAGGAGGGTGGTGGGCAGCCAAGCAAGTGCCCTGATTGCACGACCGGGAAGCTGCCAAGGACCTCTTTCCCTACCTCCACCACTAGAGCCTCCGCACCTCTTGAGTTGGTGCACACGGATGTGTGTGGCCCCATGCAAACACCGGATAGGGAGAAGGGCAGCAAATACTTCATCACATTCCTGGATGACTACAGCCGCCTCAGTTGGGTCACCTTGGTGAAAACCAAGGATGAGGTGGCCAAGGTGTTCAAGCGTTGGATACGCTATGCGGAGAGGGAAGCCGGGGCCAAGGTGAAAATACTACGGTCTGATCGGGGTGGGGAGTACATGGGGAAGGATCTGGAGTCTTTCCTTGAGGATAAGGGCATCACCCACCAACTTTCAGTTGCCTACTCGCCGCAGCAAAATGGAGCAGCGGAGCGGCTTAACCGGACCCTCATTGACCTTGCCCGAGCCATACTTGCTCATGCGCAGCTGGACCATACTTGGTGGGGGGCAGCAGTGCAATATGCCAACTGGGTCAAGAACCGGATGGGCAGCAAGGGGCTAGGGGGCAAGAGCCCATACTTCATGTGGACCAGGAAGGTGCCTAGTGTGTCCATGGCACGAGTCTGGGGGTGCATGGCGCAGTACAAAGTGCCCGACCAGCAACGGAGGAAGCTGGATCCCAAGGCACAATGGGGCATTTTCCTTGGTGTGTCGGAGAGGAGCAAAGCTTGGATGTTGTGGAGTGTGGCGGATCAGCGGGTGGTGGAAAGCCGGGATGTGGTTTTCCATGAGGGGCTGAGCTACAAGGGGTGGAAGGAGCATGGTGCTAGTACAGTTGGGAGCTCCCTCCAGGATCCCTACACCTCTTCCATTTTTGAGGGGACATGGGAGGACCCTGGAGAGGAGGTAGAGGAGCAGCAGGAGGAACACAAGGCAGCTGCACCTCACCATGAAGATTCCCCAACTGCTGGTTCCACCCCTGACCCGAACAAACCAGCCCATGAACCGTCGCAGCCCCAAGAGCAGCGGCAGCAGCAGCTGCAGCAGCAGCAACAGCAGCAGCAGCAGCAGCAGCAGCAGCAGCAGCAGCCACCACAGCAGCATACACCGCCTATTGCTGTGGGAAGGTGGCAGCAACTATTGCAGCAGCAGCTGTCCAAGTCACCACGGTCCCCCATGAAGAGAGTGACTTGGAAGGAGAAGCTGCAAAGTTTGGAGCAGGGGGAGGCATCACCTCTGCGCCGCACCACACGCATCTCCCGGCCACCTGACAGGTTCACACCAAGCGCACAGTATGCTTGCATGCATGATCATGAGGTGCATGATTTGGAGGAGTGCATGCTTGTGGATGCTGAGGGGGGTGAGCTTGGGCTTGATTTTTGTCTCATGGGTCAGGTGCATGAGCCTAAGTCGATCAAGGAGGCCTTGTCCCGTCCTGAGTGGGTCGAGTCCATGCGTGAGGAGCTTGAGTCTCATAGGGTGAACGAGTCCTTTGAGCTGGTTGATCCAGCTTGTGTGCCACCTGGAATGGAGGTCTTGAGGTGTCAGTGGGTGTGGAAGTATAAGCACCTGGCTGATGGGAGTATTGAGCGGCCTAAGTCCAGGTTGGTGGCCATGGGGAACACTCAAACACGAGGTGTTCACTATGACGAGGTATATACCCCGTTGGGTAAGCCTACTACCCTGAGAGGATCCCTTGGGATGGCAGCATCCTCGGGGTCTCACGTCCATCACATGGATGTGACCACTGCCTATCTTCATGGGGTCTTGAAGGAGGAGCTTTACATGAGGCAGCCCCCTGGCTTTGATGATGGGTCAGGCAGAGTATGCCGACTCATAAAATCAATCTACGGGCTGAAGCAATCTCCAAGGCAGTGGTACCTCAAGTTTGATGAGGCGCTGATGGATTTTGGCTTTGAGAGGTCGGAGTGTGACCTCGCCTTGTACCACTTGGTGAGGCATGATGGCAGGTTGTCCCTCTACCTCTATGTGGATGACATTCTGCTCATCTCTTCGAGCATGGGTTTGCTGGACGAGGTGAAGGGCCTCTTGTCCTCTCGTTTCCGCATGAAGGACTTGGGGGAGGCTAAGTACTATTTGGGGGTGCAGATTGAGCGTGATGAGAGTGGCATCTTGATTCATCAGGAGAGGTACATTCTCAACATGCTTGAGTCCTTTGGGCTTTCTGAGGCTAACCCCGTGCGTACCCCTCTCCCTACAGGGTTCGACGTGCATGCACACGCTGAGGAGCCCTTGCTGAGAGATGAGCTGGTTCGGCTCTATCAAAGCATTGTGGGGTCTCTCATGTATGCAAGCACGACCACACAGCCCCAGATTGCTTATGCAGTGTCACAGCTGTCCAAGGTAGTGTCTTGTCCCAAGGCATTTCATCTGCAGGCTGCTAAGAGAGTGCTAAGGTACCTGAAAGGTTGTGTCAAGTCAGGTATCTTCTACCCCGCACACAGCAAGCCTCAGGTCGAGTTGGTGGGCTTTAGTGATGCTGATTATGCTGGAGATTCAGCTGATCGCAAGAGTCACACCGGCTATGTCTATTGCCTCAATGGTGCAGCCATCTCTTGGCAAAGCAAGAGGCAGCCGGTGGTTGCATTGTCCACCACTGAGAGTGAGTACATCAGTCTGTGTCAGTGCATTCAGGAGGGTGTGTGGCTGAAGCGTTTGTTTGGGGAGTTTGGGCA